TAAACCATAATTTTAATAGATCATATATATATATATATATATATATATATATATATATATATATGGATATACATCCATTGAGGCTTTCTTATGTGTGAAAATATCGTACAGAATGGTTAAAATTCATGGGCAAGGTAATGAATACATTTCTTTTCAAGCATTGTTGCCTCCTCCCTTGTTTCATTTTCTTATCTACCCACAAGCACCCTCCTCCACCTTCCCCCCCCACCCCTCCTCCCTCAGCCAAAGTTGTAAAGGTCTTTTTTTCCATAACATCTTGTACATCTTATTTTTGCAATGGGTCCACCTGTATCCCTATTTAAACAATTTGTTTTTCCCTTCCCGTCCAAAAATTATATCAACATCAAATACAGTGAAAACAGGGGTTATACCGTGGGGGAAGGACATACAAAGCAACAAAGAAATCATCTTATAAGTATGTTAGAAACAATCACAAGAAAGAAAAAAATACATTTGAATCCTTATCTTGGGGTTCATTTTTCTAATATCAACTTGTCTGACCATTTCTGCTTGTCCAGACATGTACTAATGATTGCAAATAATGGAAACCATGGGACCTATGTTTCTTTGGGCCTGACTTACTTCACTTAGTATAATTTTTTGCAACTCTTTCCATTTCCTAACAAATAGGGCAATGTCATTCTTTCTGATGGAGGCATAGAATTCCATCGTGTATATATACCATATTTTCTTGATCCATTCATCTTTTGAGGTCATCTGGGTTGGTTTCAAATCTTAGCTATGGTTTCAAATCTTAGCTATGGTAAATAATGCTGCAATAAACATAGTTGTGCTGGTAGCTTTAGTATGGTTCTGTTTTTGATCATTTGGGTAAATACCAAAAAGTGGGAATGCTGGGTAATAGCGGAGCTCTATGTGGAGTCTTTTGAGAAACCTCCATAATGCTGTCCAAAGTGATTGAACAAGATTACACTCCCACCAACAGTGCAGTAAGGTTTCTTTCTGTCCTCATTCCCTCCATCATCTGTTGATATTAGAGTTCTTGCCTCTTCAGTAAATGGTGCTGGGAAAATTTGTTAACCACTTGTAGAAAACTAAACCTAGATCCTTATATATCACTCTGCACCAGGATCAACTCCAAATGGATCAAATACCTAGAAGTTAAAGCAGACACTCTGAAAACATTACAGGTTGGATTCAGAGAAACCCTAGGTCTTCTGGGTACATGCCAAAACTTTCTTAAAAGAGACCCAGAAACACAACAAATCAAAGAAATTTTGGACAAATGGGACTGCAAAAAATTGCAGAGCTTGTCCATGGCAAAGGACATAGCTAGCAAGATCAATAGATACAACGACAAGTGTCTCATATCTAAAATAAATTTAGAACTAAAAAAATTAAATCCCCCCAAAACAGATCCTCAATTACACAACTGCCCACTAAACAAGTGGGCTAAAGACTTAAAGAGAACCTTCTCTGAAGAGGAAAGTAGGATGGCCAATAGACACCCTTCCTTTTTTCTTTTCTTACACTGTTACATCCAACTGGCTATTTGCATATTGCTCCCTAAGGAGGACCTTCCTTTCTAAGTCTGAAATAAAGGCTCAGCTCTGAACTTGCCTTGACCTATCAAGACTCCTCATTTCACTCCTAAACATGAAGTCCTCGTCTCAGCTCCTGTGGCTGTTATTGCTCTGGATCCCTGGTAAGGGCAAAGGGAGGTGAGGAATAAGAGTCGGTGGGAGGGTGAGCTCTCATGGACCAGTGGTAACTTATCCATGTGTTAGATGTTCATGGTAGGGCAATGAGGTTTAGGTCTGAGAGAGTGAGAAACAGTCAGAAAGAGCTAGAACCTGTGCTTGAGTGAAGACTCTGCTAGGTGGGAATACTGCTCTTGACTCCTCGATACACTTTTCTGCAGCAAGAATATTGCTTTTAATACTTAGTATTTTAAATTAAAAATCAAATCATGAATATGAATAAGAGGAAATATATATCTAAATAAAAGTAATGCATGCATTGCTCCCTATGTTTATGTATAACCTTGCTCTCTCTACCTTATTCTAATTTCAGGATCCAGTGGAGATGTTGTGATGACCCAGACTCCACTTTCCCTGCTTGTCACCCTGGGAGAGCCAGCCTCCATCTCCTGCAGGTCTACTCAGAGCCTTCTGCATAGCAATGGAAACACCTACTTGCATTGGTTCCTACAGAAACCAGGCCAGTCTCCACATCACCTGATCTATTTGGTTTCCAAACGAGGATCTGGAGTCCCAGACAGATTCAGTGGCAGTGGGTCAGGCACAGATTTCACACTGACAATCAGCAGGGTGGAAGCAGAGGATGTTGGAGTTTATTACTGTTTTCAAAGTACACATGTTCCTCCCACAGTGATACAGCCTTGAACAAAAACCTCCCATCTGGCTGGGTGAGCTGTCTTCATGGCTGGCTGGTCTGGGGAGCAGCCCAGCAGTCTGTTTGAGTCTGCCTAGGAGGAAGACATTGAGGTCAATATAAGAGTGACTCTGAGTAGGGATGAAGAGTTTATGACAATACAACAAAATGCAATCTGTAACAACCAGAATAATTACCTGGATATAAAGACCATATAAACCAAGAGGTATTTGTTGAAAAATGCAAGTCTCTCATCAGTAATATTATAGCCAACCTGTAATCTAAAAAATAAATGCCTGCTGTGATGATTATTCTCTCTGTGATGAAATTTATAATACTACATTTCAGCACACGTTAGCCTACATCTTTTGCTATGCTTTCTGTTCAGAACCTGGAAGAACAGTTGTGCCTTTTCTAGCTTCTGCTCTGTGTGATCAACAAATCCTGCTTGACCATCAAGCCACCATCAGAGTTTGATTAGTGTCTTTTGGCTGGAACAACCTGGGGAACATACAAAATTGCACAAAGCACAGTAATGTCTGCCTTCTATGTCCTGGGGCTCTGGCTCTACTTAAGAGAATGGTGTGTGGCAAAACCCTGTAATATGGTTCATGGGCCCCAGAAGTCTGAGAGTGAGCACTTTTTCAAGAGTGCTTTATTCATCTGTTCATTCTCTGTGTCTTTATATAAAAAAAACATGTCAAGACGGCATCATTAATCTTGTTTGCCTTGTATCCACTTATATCACCTTAGACACCTGGAACTATGATATCTCACAGGCTAGGACTTGGGGAATTCTCAAGATTTGTTTAATACATACTTTAGAGTTAGAAAGTCCTAGGTACAGTATCTTTATTTGTCTGTTCTCAGGTGAGGGCTGTCATGTCTGTATCAGGACATTGTGTGTTATTAGAAAGCCACATGTTGAAGAGGCTGATTATTTGGTTGTCTTCACGTCACAGCAATTGTCTCTTAAGAGATCTGACTTACTACTTTAACCCTCCCAAAGGCAGCCCCTCCAGTGATCTAGGCACTTCCCACAAGTCACTGATATTTGAGGTCTTCTACCTCTCAGCATAAACACACAGGGGTCCACTGAGAAAAATCCTTCTTACACAGACTTTGTGGAAAAGGCACATCGAAATGTTAGTAGTGCCTGTCCATATGCTAATACATTTGTATTAACAAACAATTAGATTGGAAATGTATGAAGTTACTGTCCTCAAAATAATAATAATGCACTTAATACTTGCCAGTACCATAATGCTGCATTCACTTCTACAGCTTTAGTAGTCACTGGATTGGGAAATGTTTACATTTATAAATGTCATCATGATATTTGGATCTGAATGCTTATGGTTCTTCAGCCTTAGCTCAGAGGTAATATGGGGATCATCTTAGTGTTCTGCAGGGAAGCCACACAGAAGCCCTGTCAGCACCAGGGAATTCTACACATGAAAATGTATGGCATTAGTTTCAAGATGCTGGTCTTTTTTTGTGTGTTTTTTTCAGTGGTACTGAGGTGAACTCAAGACTTCACAAGTACTCTCCTATTACTGCAACATATACAGATCTCTTTGCTTTAGGTCATTTTTTTCAAGTAAGATTTTGGGGTTATGCTTGTCTGGGTCACAAGCCCAGACATTTGTTCAGTCACTAAAGATTTCTTCAGTTTGACACTAAAAGAAATTGGTAACATAGTAATGTACATGTTTATAGAGCTGCGTAATCTGAATAGACTTCAGTTTGTAGGATAAAGAATATCTGTTTCTGAATGGGAACAATTTGAAAGGACAGAAACATGAATGTTATCCAAGGTGTAGGAGACTTCTAGCTCAGACATGTGGAATGATCACAAAGCTGTCATGAATCTATGTCCTTTCAGAATACAGAGAATCAAAGTCTGATGTTAACTGTCTAAATCCTGGTTATGGAAAAGTGTATTCAAGAGTGAAGGACAACAAATGGCTTATGTGGAGGTGATAGCAGATACCCAATAGGTAGACTGTACTTTGCAGAACCTAACAATATATTTCACAAAGAATATTTTCACATATTTCTTCATCATTCATTGAAATATTTTAGGTTTCTCTCTATTCATCTATCTATCTCTCCGTCTATTTTCAGTCTTAAGTCTCATTCTATCTCTGGGTAATTGGGTAATTCTCTTCATGATCACTAAACAATAAAGTTTGTTAAAAAAAAAACAAGCTAATGAGTCAGGGAATCTGGTAAAAAAAAATAATTACTTGTATATCTCTGGAACTGTCTTTTCCTGGAAGATTGGGTTAGGTAAAAAGCTAGCTAAAACGTATTTCATGACCAACATTGAAATTACAATTCACTCATATCACAGGACATAAATTCATTTAGTTCACTGGACCCAAGAGAATACCATCCCATGCTAGCACATTTGTATTATTCTGGCTGGGTTGACCTTAATGTATCCTGGGCACATTAAGGACAACATGTCTGAGCAAAGATACTAAAATATGCAGCCTTATAGCTGTGCACCACACTTCTAGTCCCTGCAATTTGCACGTGCCCAGGGCCCAGTCCACTGCTTTTAGGATGCCATAATAGTATGCTCACATCCTGGTCAGGACTCAGTCCCAATCAGCACACTGCATGGACATGAGGGCCCCTGCTCAGCTCCTGGGATTTCTGCTGCTCTGGCTTCCAGGTAAGGAAAAACAATCCCTAGATTTACTTAACACAATATTGTAAACAATATTTTAACAATATTTCTTCAAGGAAGTCTTTTAATAAATTAATGTACTATTTTTAATTTTATTTTATTGTAAAGATGCTATACAGAGGGGTTACAGTTACGTGAGCAAGGCAATGAGTACATTACTTTTTGAGCATTGTTACCCCTTCCCTTGTTGTTGTCCCACTATCCCTTCCCTCACTCACTTCCCACACTCCCCCCCTCCTCCCCACCAATGCACCCCTTGCCAGAAGTTGTAAAGTTCATTTCCAATATACCGTGTAAAGTTCATTTCCAATATACCGTGTAAAGTTCATTTCCAATATACCGTCCTGTGGGTATCATTGTTGCAATGTTGCAATGTGTCAGCATTTTGTTATTCCCCTTTCCCTCCCCAGATTAGACAAATGTGTAATCAAGATGCAGAATACCAAAATCAAGTACAGTGTCAACAAGTTTTGTGTTTTCAATGTTAGGTGACAGATGTGACACTCAACTGACGCAGTCTCTGTCACTGTCTGTGTCTCTAGGAGACAGAGTCACCATCACTTGTAGGGCTAGTCACAGTATTAGCAGTTACATACACTGGTATCCACAGGAAGCAGGAACAATCTCCAAGCTCCTTTTATATAGAGCATTCAGTTTGCAACCTAGGGTCCCATCAAAGTTGAGTGGCAGTTGATCTGGGACAGAGTTCACTTTTGCCATAAACAGCCTGCAGCCTAAAGATGTTACAACTTATTTCTGTATACAATATGCAGTGACTCTGCCACAGTGATACAAGTCATAACATAAACCTCCCAGGGAAACACAAGTGTAAGGCTGGCTGCCCCAGCTGCTCATATTTGTGCCTACGTCTGATGACAGTGGTACTCAAAAGAATAGAACTCTGCAGGTCATTTGAAACTTTTGGTTGAAAAAAAGTCAGGGACCATCCTTTCCAGCTTACTTATCTTCTTCTGCCCCACCAGCACAGATCTCACAATGCACCTGCTGTCTTATTAAAGAGACATATCTATACTTACAAGGATCTGAGCTGTGGTATTCAAGTGGATTCACAAAGTAAACAAGAAAATAAAATTATACAAAAAAGATTTTCAAAAGAAAAGCTGTAGATTTCATAGCTCATCTTGTTCTGGTCCAGAAATAGGCATGTGGATGTAGAGGATACCTGATAATCCTACCAATCTCTTCCACTTACAGTTCTTTGCTTTCTGGAAAGGGTGAAAAACAATACAATGGAGAACGCAGTATCTATTAAACAATTAGTGGTAAAACAAATGATTTCTATAGGCAAAAGCCTAGATAGAATTGGATACATGCTACATAGCATTTAGGAAAATTAACACAAACTATTATGAAAATGCAAGTATAAGAAGTAAAATTAAAATTCTTAGCAGGCACACCAGATGTCCAGCTTTGTGACTATGCCTAAGAGTTGGGAGGGGGGAGGAGTTGGAGAGGTGGAAAGGATGGTAGGCCTTAAACAAAGGAGGAGATAACAATGCTTAATAGGAAATGTACTTATTACCTTACTCATGCAACTGTAATTCCTCTGTACAGTATTTTACAATAAAAACATATTTTAAAAAATCAAACAAAAATTCTTGAGTGTTAACAAGGAGGATTTTCTTAGTATTTTAGAGAGATTCCCATTTTGGTATACACATTCACAGATCCTGCTATGTGCATCTAGTTACCAGTAATATTTATCAATCTATTATTTCCCAGTGTTGACAATCTTAAAGTACCTAGAAAAGGCACACAGTATTCATGTGTAGGTTCTTAGTGGCTGGTATTCCACTCCTTATACTTGGATCTACATAGAAGTGGACTTGACAAGTGTCTGGGTTTCCATTCTCATCCATGGATAGAACTCTGATCTCTAATAAGTTGGATCCACCAGTAAACGCACCAGATGGAGACAGGTCTCTGTGTTTAGAACCCCATTAACATAATATAGATCTGGAGACTTTGCAAGATTATAGTCTAGACAAACTAGAGCAGATGCAACTGTGTGATATAAATAAGAGAAAGATGTCCACTAATGCTTCATGTCATTTATTCAAACCACACATTTCTTTACCGCTTTCTTTAAAGGCAGATTTGTATTGCCAAGTTTAATTTTACATATCTGGTTATTTCAAATTTCCACAAAGTGGCACTGATTTTGACTACTAAAGAAGTAGATGGAGTGGGGGCTGCAGGAAACTCCATCCACAACATCAAGCAATCAGGAAAGATAAACCCAGGTCATGGACATTCTTAACCACACTGTCCTTGTGTATCTCTGACCTAGAGACTCCCTATGTGTCTCAGAGTGAAGTCTTCTAGACAGACTAGCCCTTCTTTGTTCCCTGTCATCTCAGCTTCTAGACAGTCTCCTGTTGTGAGGGGCTTCATCCTGCAAATGTCAGTCATCCCCAAAATAAAACTGCCACTTGCTCCTGGTCCTTGAGATCAGATCATTTTTATGTAATCATATCACAGATGTCACAATACTCTTATAGATTCATACTTCCTATACCCAAATTATGCACTCCTGCTTGTTGGACACAAACAATTCACTTTAAAGAGCTTCTGGCCTGACATCCAGATAATACACCTGGTTCTAACATATGAATCCAGACGAAGAGCATCAGGCAAAGTAGCCTGAATGGTAGAATACAAAGTGCCCTTTTATAAGTCCTTCCTCCTTTGATTGCCTCAGGTCTTTATTAAAGACATTTAGGAGCCTAAATCCCACCTGGGCACAATGGACACTCCTCTTAGATCCTTACTCTTTTCCTTTTCAGCATGTGGTCACCAAATTTGGTGATGTTGTTACAGCTACAGTATTAGCATAGGAGAGTGACAGTTTAAGTCAGGGTCAGCATAGTCTGCTTTAGTTCTATAGATAGTATGTGAAAACTGAAATGGCACTTTTCTTTTTCTGTGTGCTGATACCAGTACTTGTATTCAGAGCCTGGGAGCAATCCCTGAGATTTTTGGCTCAAGGTTCTACCACTTGAGCCACAGCTCTATTTCTGGAATTTTTGATAGTTAACTGGAGTTGGCTTTGAACTGTGATCCTCAGATCTGGACCTCCTGAGTAAGTAGCTTGGATTGCAGAGTGAGCCACTGGCACCTGGCTGAAATGGCTTGGTTTTGCTAAAGAAGAATTTTGGTGAATATGTATATTTTCTGAACATTTAAGGGTCATATAGTATGACAGAAAACAATAACAATAACAAAAACAATAACAATGATAGTATCTTATAGTGTTAAGCATTTATTTCCACAAAATATAGAAATACATTCTCTAATACAAACATCATTAAACTATGCTTTGTATCCATTATATTTTCCAGCAGTAAGTGAGGTCATGACATATTTCATATTGTTACTCATTTTCCCAGAATCCAAATTTGATGTTGAGCAATAGGTCTTAGGGTTATTTTTTTTTTAATTTAATTTTATTTGTGAACATACTGTACAGAGGAGTTACAGTTACATGGGCAGGATAATGCGTACATTTCTTACCAAGCATTGCAGCCTCCTCCTTTGTTTACCCTTCACATCCCTTCCCAGCCTCCCCCCTCCCCCCCTAATCCCAATCCTTCTCCTTCCCCCCTTCCCCTCCTTCCCCCCCCCCCCCCCCCCACCGCACTAACATTGTAAAGCTCGTTTTGGACCTGACAACTTGTACTTCTCATTGTTGCAACAGGTCCACCTGTATCCTTAAACAACTGGTTTTTCCCCATTTCCTCCACAAGTTATACTGACATCAAATATAGTGAAAGCAGGGGTTATACTATGGGGGAGGGACATACAAAGCAACAAAGAGATAATCTTATAAATGTGTTAGAAACACATGCATGAAAGAAAAAAAACATTAAAATACACATCTAAGGGTTCATTTTCCTGACATCACATTATCTGACCTTTTCCGCTTGACTCATACGTATACTAGATATTACAAATAAGGGAAACCATGGGACCTACGTTTCTTTGGGCCTGGCTTACTTCACTTAATATAATTTTTTCCAAGTTTTTCCATTTCCTAACAAATGGGGCAATGTCATTCTTTCTGATGGAGGCATAGAATTCCATTGTGTATATATACCACATTTTCTTGATCTTAGGGTTATTTTTAATTTAATATTTCTTCACAATTATTTTCTTAGCAAGCAGTTGTATTTAAAATGGATTCATGAGTTGATGTTATTTTTGTGTGTATATGTGTACTTTTCTTTTCCAAGTCCTTATGTCCTCAACTCCTTTTGCTGGAATGAGACTTAGATTTAATCATTTATAAAATGATAACCAGTTTCTAAGTTGTTATGCTAAGTGACAAAAAGTTAAAACGCACAAATCATAAACATTATACTAAAGGAAACAGTAAAAACTTTGTGGAGATATGAAACATTTTCTCTAATTTTATCTACTAATCATGATTTGTTTGGTTTTACAGAGATTGCCCAGAATTTTGCAAATAATTTTATGCAAATATCTCGTTAGTTTGTTAAAATATTTTATTTTGCTAAATTTCCTTGAAAAGATTTCGAAGTTAGCTTTCACAGAAAGTTACCTAGAATTAGATTTGTTTTTTGGTATTTCTTTTAAATTAAGAACAATAGAGAAGGATATATTGTCTTACTATTTGTTTATTTATAAGTACTGGGGTTGAGAATAAGATCTTACATTTGCTTGAATGGTCCTTGATTACTTGAGCCATACACTCAACAATATTTTTAGTGGTCATTTTGGAGATAGGCTTTGTGACCATATTTTTCTTTGACTGTCCTGCAATCAGGATCTTTAGGATCTCAGCCTCCTAAGTAGCTAAGATTACAAGCCTGATCTCTGCCTCCCAGCATCAATCTATGATTCCTATTCCTCTAGCATTTGTGTTCAGTTGTGTGAGCATTATTCTAAAGTAAAGTGAGGTAGGCAGTATTTTTTCAGAATCAGATTATTCTGGTCTCAAATGC